CCTGTCACCAGGGGCTCTGCCTTCCTCTCCAGGCAGCACAAGGAGCCAAAAGGGTTCCGCTGCATTAGTGTCCCCCCTCCTAAATGCCTGCAGCTGGGTGGGAAGAAAACCTCCATCAGCATCCGTGAAATCAAGGACCAGAGGCTGAGCCCATGGGGATGGCAAGCACCCTCGCTCTGCTTGAACCGAAACTGTCTCCAAAAAGCAAACATCAAAGTCTTGAGCCTTTGCAGGTACAAACCAGGATGGGCAGGTAGGCTGGGAATGCTTTTTTTTTTTTTTTTTTCCTTCACAAGCCATTAAATAATCCTCCAACGCAGATGGAAAAGTCTGCCAGGCTCAGCATGGGCGTGGGGCTGCAATGGCGCGGGGGAGGCAGGGATCCCATTTTTTACCAAAACATTGAGTCCTAACGAATGTGACCTCTCCAGGTGCCAAATCCTGCCCCTCCACAAGGGGTTTACACTGGCAGCCTCAGCACAAGTGCATTCATAATGCGTATCATTTGTCATCTTTTCATCAAAAAGTGTGTAAATCCTTTCCCTGAAGTGCAGAGCTGTTTTACAGCCAGGCTATAAAATCCTGCAGAGTCTCTGTTCCAATAGAATTACATTAGTGCCAATAATCTGGCAAATATCAGGAGTGAATTTAATCAAAAGAACTAACACCAGGGCCCTGATTTACAGCGGCCCATGACAGAGTGGAGCAGACGGAGGTTTGCAGGACCCAGATGTGGAATTTCACTTGCAACATCATTTGCAGCAGAGGGAAAGCAGAAGGAATGGGAAGCAGGGCTTCAGCATTTTGGGAGCTCTTCATGCTCTCACAAATATTGGTGAGAAAAGAGGAACAATTCGCCTTTGTTCTGAGTTTTAAAAGATGATCATGTGAAATTTCTTATATCTGGGGCTTCGTTGTTTCTCGGGACAGCCCCCACACCTAACGGGTGTGTGCAGGACCAGGGTTTTGATGTATCTGCCAGAGCAAAGGGCATCCCACTCCGGCACCCGCTGGGATGAGCCCATCCATCCCCCACGGCAGAGGACCGGCACTACCACTGGACTGCTCCAGCCTGAGAGTCCCCGTCCGGGGCCACGCAGAGATCAGTTGTGCGGTCTGACCTCAAAACGCCAGGGGAGCCTGAGCCCTTGCTTGAGTAACTGGTGTCCCTGGCTTTGCCTGACCACCCACCCGCAGCAATCCCAGTCCTCCTTCAGCTCCCAATTCCAGCCTGGCAGGCTCTGGCGCGCACCCAACATTGCCACTTCATGCAATATCCCTGCTCCATCTGTCATCAATTCCTTTGCATGTGGTTTGCAGACTTCATGCCATGCTCTGCCTGTTGCATGGCTCTGTGACAGGGCATCTCTGATCACTGACAATTTTTTTCTTTCTATCATTTTTTGCAAGAAAACAACTGGAAGCAAATGCATAGGTGAGGAACATGGCATGGCTGCATCACTTTTAACCATCAGGGTAAAAGTAATCCTTAAAGCCCAACTCCTTATGCCTTCACCTGTGCTGCTAAGACAAATTCAAATCATTAAAAAAACTCTTTTAATTAAAAGCTATTATAGGTTTGGCTATTAGAAAACCAACCAGCCCTCCACCTGGGCAGGAGGGCACTGCCCAGCTCCACTTTCTGCTCACCTTTTGCTGCCTGAGCCTCACACCATGCCCTGCAACATGTGCAAAAGTTTGTGGCATTTTCTTTTTCTCCAAGTTAAAAAAAAAGTAGACATAGTTCAAACATTTCTGCAATGTGATATTTTTTGCATAAATACCAAACCCAACCATTTCAAATAATGTAACTCATGCCTCTATAAATTTCTGGCGTTAGATGCGTTATGAATTGAGGCACATAACCTAGTGCATAGGATGGAGTGAGAGATGAGAAACACAAGTGAGAGGAAAGGCAGTTTAGCTGGATGTGTCTGTTAGGCTGAATTAATGAAGTTGAATTAATACAAAAATCTCTTCAGCAGCTCTTTCACGGAACATTTGCTGTGAGTTCGCCCGAGCTCACGCACTCTTGCCAGGGGGGTTAAGTGTGCTGCATGCTTCCTTGGCAGCTCTTGATCTGCTCACAAGGCACTGGTGCTCTATTATATGCATTTGTTTAAATGTGTTACATGTAGGACATGAACGGAGCAATGCGATGGTTGAGAGAATCAAGTCTTATAGAGAAAACACAATATACTGGGTGGGATGAGACGTCAGGCAGTTGTGAGTGAGATGGCAGATGCTACAGGATGGTTAATTCCTTAATTCTAAACACATTCGGTCGAGATGAGACTCTGGGAGAGCTTTGCCTCTTGGCAGATGGCTTGGTGAGATGATAAATTAATATTGTTATCAATGGGAAAATGGCTGAAGTTGTTAGATGGTAGGGTTTGCTTTTTAAAAATGCCTGTTTTTCAACAATTATTTCAGAAAAGTCCCTGAATCAGGGAAGAAAAACAGAGGGAACATAAAATATCCTCTGTGTCATAAACAGAGCTCAGGAAAACGAGTTTTCAAAGGAATGCCTTTGCTGTAGGAAACTTCATTTCGCCTGCTTTTGTATAGGACGATGGATTACGCCAACAATAAACCATTCCAACCACTGTGAAATTGTGCTAATAGCCTGCGAGTCAGGGAGCTGTTCATGCACCAGCATATTTATTACATACCTTTGTATCTGTTAGCTCCAATAGCCACATTTTTGTTACAAGCTGTGGGGGGTTGGAGAAGTATTTAAATTTGGAGATCTCAAATTTCAAGAGCAGGAGCGGTTTGACAAGGCAGGGGGATGAGAAAAGGACAATTGCAAAGAGCATTTAATAGAACGAATGACCCAGTGACTGGGAAATTCAGCCTTAAAACATCGTGGAGTGCCTCACGAAGGCCAGTACACATCTTCCCGGGTGCTCACTTGGGGAAACTGAGGCACAGCATGGCTGTGAGGTTTCCCACCCGCAGGTACCACCCATCACCCAGCTGTGCTTTTTGGGTAAAAGACCACTGTGCTATCTGCCACGGAGAGGTTAGCAAGAGTGAGGGGCCAGGGGACAGAAAGGGTAAATGGGCAGGAGAGGGGGAGCAGGCTGCCTGGCCAGGGAGGAGAGCTGGGAAAAGCAGGAGCGAGGAAGGTCCTGGGAAATGCCAGAGTCAATGAGACAGAGAGGCTTAAGCATGGACATTGCTGCCAACACAGGGCAGGGACTGTCTTTTCCCAGGATGGAAAAGCTGGGGATGGACGGACAGGGGACGGCATCCGCCCTACCCTCCGGCCGAGCATCCCCTCCCTGCTCCGTGCTCCCTGGGCAGATCCCAGAGGACTGGAATCCCTATGGATGCACAGTGACCCCGTGGCTGGGAAAGAGCTCTCCTCTCCCCCAAATCCCACCATGTCCCCAGGAGTCCCCATGCTGGGGAGGCAGCTGGGGTAAACCAGAGCTCTAGGAAGGAGATAACTGTGCTTGGGGAGGGGTGAGAAATCACCCCACCACCCCGGCACCCCAAAACCCTTTCTGAGGAGCAGGAAGGTAAATGAGAATCAGGCTCTGGACATCAGCAAACCCCTCTGCGAGCATGCCGCTGCCCGGGGGTGGTGGATGCCCGCCTGCATCGCTGCCTGGCCCCGCTCGAGGAGAGCCTACGCCTTCACAATTTCCCTTTGTTTGCCTCAACCTAATGCGCTGTTACTTCAGCTGCGACCCGGCCATGAAAGCAGAAATATGAACTTTATTACGACACATATCCGCTCGGGACCGGGGGGCAAGGCGCGGCCGCGCGCGGCAGGCAGCTCGCTGCTGGAGCAGGGGTCCGGCTGGGGTGCTGGGTGTTGAGGCTGGTGTGGAAGTGACTCAGTCCCCCTGCACTCCTGCCTTCTGGCTCCTCGGACCCCAAAACGGCAGCTTGTCTCCCCCCCCAGTGCCACGGGTTGGGTTCACATCCCACCAGCCCGTGCATTGGCTGAAGCTGTAGCTTGTTAGCAGCCTCAGCACAGGGCGGGTCGAAAACGTCTCGTTGAAATAGTTTTTACAAGGTGAAAAAAGGGGGAGTAGGGCTGTCTAAAGAAGCAATTTCTTTTTTTGCTTTGGCAAAGAGTGTCTGTTTTCAGTGGAAAAAAAAAAAAAACACTTGAAGAAGCGTTTTCATTAAAAAAATTGAAAATGCTGAAGACCCAAAGCTTTCCAGCCAAAAATACCCAGCTTGGGCCAAAAAGCTTTCCGTTTCTTGTTGAAATGAGTCTTTAGAGAGAAAAGAGCTGAAACTTTCTGCGGGAAACCCCAGCATCTTCTAATCTGGCTTTTGAATGTTTGCTTGATTCCTTTAGCTGTGTCTCAGGTTCAGGATTTATATCTCTTCCAGCAGAGAGCTGAGAGTTTAAAAAGTTCATTTGCAGGATTTGCTCTTATTGCTGCTCCCACCCCAGCTGAAGCCCCGCTTGCCTTCACATCCACCGCAGAAGAGGAAACCTCAAAAAACTCCGCTTGCTGAGCTCAAAATAAAATTGTTTCCCATTTTACTCTTCTCACCTCGTCCCGAGGAGTGAAATGTTCTGTGCGTGGGTTAAATGCTGCCTGTGCCCCTGGCAGCGCTGAGGGTGGGAGCAGGAGACGGGCGTTTGGAGGAGGCTGATTTACAGACGCTACATCTAACCCCGTTTTGTGCAACTCTGCCCTTACATGTGTGACGACCAAATTAGCTGTGGCTATCGGAGCAGGTGAAGCATGATTTATAAGTGATAAAACCTGAAATAATTTAAAGTCATCCTCAGCAGTGAGGACTTTTTCTATTTCGGTGGCCTCATCCTCACCTGGAGGCTGGGGAGACCAGGGAGAGGTGATGGCAGGGAATGTGGGGGCAAGAAAAGTTATTTCAGGGCTTGGTTTGGGAGAGGGAGGAGCAGGAGGGGTATGGCGAGATCAAGAACTGTGGAAGCAGGAGCAGCAGGAAGGAGTCGGAGGAGAAGGAGCCGTGCGGTCCCGGCCACCCCACCCCTGACCCGGTACCTTTGCAGGCCTTGCGGTGGGAGATGGGCTTGCTGAGGTCCCGGTAGAAGCCCTCCTTGCAGTAGTGGCAGTGCCGCCCAGCAGTGTTGTGCCGGCAGTTCAGGCAGACGCCGCCGCTCTTGCGCCCCGACAGCTTGTAGAGCTCCATGTTGAAGCGGCACCGCCGGGCGTGGAGGTTGCAGTTGCAGGCTGCGAGAGGGAAAGAGCGGAGACCGTCAGCATCTGTGCCCGCTCGCGGAGGTGCCAACCCGGGGGGAACCTGTGTGCATGGGGGTGGGCACCCTCGAGGTGCTGCCCGGGGAGCCCTGCTGCAGCGGGGGTGTCACAGGCTGCGATGCTCTGGTGGCACCTCTGGCTATGGGAAACCAACTGCTAACCCACGTTCCTCCTTGACCAGTGCTAAGTGGTGAGTCCAGCTTTTTGGAGGGGAAGTTGAGGTCACCAAGACCCCGTTTCACCATTGTGACTTGCAACAAATAGGCCTTTTGCGTCTCCCCACTCTTAATGTGAATTAAAAGCTGGGTGCAGGCAGGTCTGCGAGGGCAGGCAGCTCACCCGTGGTCAGGAAACGGCAACGCACAACCCCCCAGCTGCTCCCCCAGGTTTGTCGCAACTGCTTTGCCCCACGCAAGTCTCCTTTCCCATCTGCTCTCACACTGTGGTGCTTCATATTGTGCTACTGCTCGGTACAAAGCCCCCCCAAAACTGCTGTGAACCCCCCTGCTTCCCAACACCCTGGGAGCCCTCTCTGTCTGCCCCCAGGGGAAAGGGGGTTTCCAACATCACCTGCCCAACCTTCCCAGTATTCCCACTCTCACCTGACACATGTGTGTTTAAGCTCCAAATATCAAGACCTTCCTAGCTACCTTCTTCCCCGGCTTTCCTTCCTGTGCTTGGAACCCGTAGCACAAGTCTCTGTTCTGCATCTGCAGCCCTGAACATGCCGGTAAAACCTCACCTCTGCCTCCGCATCTCTCATCCCGCTGCTGGGACAGGGCCAGCCTGACGCCCAGTTAGTCAAATACCAAAAAGTCCCCCTCTGCTTTGATTGCATGTGCTGTGACTGAACCTGCCGGGAGATGTCCAATTTCTCCACCATATGCAGCCTAATGTCAACACAGGGACTATTTTAACAGGGGGCCTTTGCAAAGGACAACTTAAGGACTTCAAAGCTCGACCCCTCGCCTGCCTCTCCCCAGAGCTGTCATGGGAACATCAAGAGGCAGTTGCTGGGGCTCTGTGCTTTGCTGAGAATTTTATAGCTTGTTTTCTTTTCCCTTTGCTTTTATTTGCTCTTCACCCCCGAACAATGCATCTGTGCAATGCCAACCCACAGCTGGGCCTCTCGGCTCGGCACGAAGGTGTCACGGCTCTGGGCTTGTCACCTTCCTTTAGAGCAGAGACATCTTAATCCCTCATTCCTTCCTGTTTACCTTATGGTGCTTGCCCAAGACAAAGACATGTTATATTTGCTTAATTATCAAATTTCAGCCCAGAAAATTACAGTGCAGTTCCGGATTATTTATCAGGAACAATCCCCAGCTAACTCGCAACGTGAAAGCAAAGCGGAGAGCAAAATCCTCTGGACACGTCCGACCAGCGGGATGGAGACTGCTCTCTCCATGCTTTGCAATCTGAATTCCTCTGGCTGGCGTGGTGAGGCCCAACCTCACGTCCCCACCAAACGCGGGCAGAGCAGGAGAAGCAGCTACCAACGTGCTAGTGGTGAGAAAAGTGGCCCAAGAGCGGTTTGCCAGCCATGAGAAAGTGAGATTTCTGACACCGAGTGGGGCCACGACTTTGAACTGCGGTTTGCCTCTCCTTAGATGAGCCCACCAGCCTGCGGGTGCATTTGTCATCTCCCAAAACAGGAGACGACCATCAAGGAGACTGGAGAGGCAGCTCCTGCATGCAGAGGGAATTGCTGTTTTTTTAGATCCGGCCGGTCCCACAGACACATTTGCTGATGCTGTAAGCACACTTAAACAGCCTGTTTGCATCTAAAAGAAGCACGGGAGCTCACACCAGGCACTTTCTGCATCCCCCCTTGTAGGTTTTTCCCCTTCCGTCTTAATCTCAGGAGGAGCACTTTGTACTTTGCTAGGAGCGCCCCAGCAGCCGCTCAGCTATGGTATTCTCCTTTTCTCATGGCGTGCCGAGCAGCCCCTGCCACCCCGATGGCTCCGCCGCAGTCAGCGCTTGTACAAATAGGGGATTAGAGGTGATTCTTGCCCTGCAGAATGCATGAGCTAAGCTTTTGGGAAGGAGGTGGCATTTTTAAAGTCCCAATCCTTGTTTTACAGAGAGGCGACCGAGATGCTGAGATTAAACCCTTTTGCCGGGCACGCAGGAGGCACAGGGCTGAGGGCTGGTTCCTCCACGCAGGGCAGAGCCTTGCCCCAGGCATGGACCAGCTGAAAGGCACACCAGGGCTGCAAGCTGAAGGATGACCTCTTGGCTACCAAAGCAACACCTGTATCAATGTCATGGCCTCAGGACTCAGCTCAAGCAGAGAAAAAAAGATTTAAGTCCCTCAGTCTGAGAGTCTGTCATCCCTGCTGTAGCCTGTGATGTTGCAGGCACATCTCCATCATTCAAAGCCTTGAGATGCACTAGCAGCTCTGCCTTTGGTGCTGCAAACCACAGGATTTACTCCCTGTTGACCAACATGAGGAGACATTTCTCCAGGGGGTGGCATGGCCTCACAGAATACCTAGTTCTTCCTTGAATCTGGCAGAACTGTGTGTTTTCCGAAGAGCGTGAAAGCTCATCTCCTCCTAAAACTTGTATTTTAGGAGAGCTGGACTTGGTACTAGAGTATTTTGCAAGATTGCATTGGCAAATCCCTTTTTAAAATTCAAAGCTGAGCCCACCCGAAGAGTGAGTAAAAATTTTTGCATTTATTTGGGTTGCTTGATAAGCAGAAATCTTTTTGCAAAGCCAGAAAAGCAGAACTCGTGGGATTTTTCTCAAGATCTTTGCAAATATTTCAGCTGGTCCCACCAGGGCAGAGCTGCACGGGAATGTGGAGGAATAAGTGGAGTGTGCAGAGCTGCTCGCAGCCCTGCTCCTGGGATCAATTTTACATTGATCTTCCAGGGATGGGAAAATCCAGTGTCTGGAGAAGGGAAGAAGCTGAACCTCACAAGAAGCTGCAAGGAGCTCCCAAAACCAGCCATGCCTGTCCTCATACAGAGCAAAGGACCTAAAGATTGTGTATGCCCCAGGGTATAAACCCTCCCAGGAGGGAATGAATGAGCTGGGAGAAGGTGTGGGCTAGTCGAGCCCCTCTCCATGCCCAGCGTCCCTGCACTTGGCCTCTCTGCGAGCTCCCCGTAAGCACCGTAACAGCCAGGGAGCACCGGCCACCCCTCCACCGTGACTTCTCACCTTTTTTTGGCTCCATCGGCTCAGCCTTGGCTCTGTCCCCTCCTTCCACCTCCACTCCCAGGGCACCAAGGACATCCGCTGGGCCCCATGCACATAGGTGCTTTTCCATCATCCCCCCCCTCCTGATCCACCCGCTTGTGCAGACAGAAGGGACCAAACTGACCCAAGGAGGGTGGTTTTAATTGAAATTACTATCTTCTGTGCTCACCCTGAGTGCATGGGTCCTGAATGGCCAGTGCTATGCACTGCTGGGCTAGCTGGCAGCTCTGTCTGCAGCCTGATGTGTTTGCAGGTGCCCAATGGGAGAGGCTTGGTCTGACTGAAGGAACATAGCCATCCTGTTTTTTCCTGACAATAGTGCATAGGGACAGAAGAATTAATGCAATAAATGACCCATCTAGGCATCAGAACGTCCTTGCTGGGGATGAAGCTGGGACATGTCGTGATGGGATCCATCACGCTGGTGCTACAGCCTCGGAGAAGACCGGTGGTGGGGACCTGGGGATGCTGAGCGAGGGCAATGCCTGGGCACACCGCTATCACTGGGAGACGGCCGTTAGGACCGACAGGGACCCAGCAGCAGGTCATGATGCTTTTGGATCCCAGCTCTGAATCTGTGTGCGGTCCCCGGGTGCCGCAGGCAGGGCGTGCGGCTCGCCTGGCCACATTTTCCCTGGACAGAGGCGTTCAGGAAACACGGCTCCCGCCCACCCTCTCCCTTGGCCCAATGGTTAATCCCCTGCTGTGCTAAAGCATTTTGCCTTGTTCCTAACATGAGTTGGGCTGGCTTTAATTTCCAGCTAGTGCTTCTTGGTTTGAATTTCCCTGCCACAGTAAGTGGCTCTTTAGCAACCCATCTTTTCTTTCTATGAACGCCATCGCCGGTTGTAATAAAAATCACCTCCCAATATTGGCATCACCTAAGGTCCCCATGCTTTGCTTTTCACCCAGTGGAGAAGACACCCCTGCACAGGCTGCAGACCCAGCACAGACCCAGCTATGAGCAAAACATGTGCCAGGTGCTGAGACCTCTCCAATGAAAGATTTTGGCTCCAGTGGCTCAGTGCTGCTGTCTCCTGCTTTCTTCTTTCTCTTATTTTGCCAAGGACCTCACAAGCCTTTAGTTAGCTGACTTTATTGCGCACAGATGTACAGAGCTTCATCAAATACTTTCTACCTGGGCCGCCAGGCTCTGATATGAATAACCAGCTATCACTTAAATGCAGATGTTCAGAAACCTGGAGAAGGTCAGAGCGGAAAAGAGGAAAGCTGTGGTTTGGAGCCAGGTGCAGAAACTACAGCAGAAGCATCTCTGCATTAAAAACAGTGACTTGGTCAAATGAATCTGTCGAAGAAGGTCAAGGTGGGCAAGATTTTTCATTTGGGAGAATGAAAGGAGATACGTGAATGGGAGGCACAGGCTGGAGCTGTGCGGTGGGAGCTGTGGTCGTGGTCTTTTGTGCTGCCGCCATGTCCCCCAGGCTCCGCGTCCCAGTGCCCTACATCTCCCAGGACGCATTCCTCTCCGTGGTTTTCATTCAGCAATGACAATGCTGCCCTTTCAAAAGACCCCACCCTTCCAAAACTTATATTTTGGCAATTTTCAAAATGCAAATTGCTTTTTAAACAAACAAAAACCCCAAAACATTTTGTTTTAATTTTTGCAAACAATAATTTGGGGGAGGGGGGAAGGGAAAGGGGAGGATAGAAGAAGCCAGGGGCTGAAAGTAATCTCTAAATTTGACTTGAACTTATGAATAGTCTCATTCTCCTTAAAATTGTCCTTTTCTCAGATAAGT